AATAAACATATCTCTCTGTGGGTGTATGCCCAGGAATGGTATAGTTGTTATATGATACTCCTAATTTTAATTTTCTGAGAAACTTTTGTGCTGATATGACATAATTGCTATGCCTGTTTACCCTCACACCAGTAGTGAGTAAGGTTTTCTTCTCTCCCATATCTTTGCTAGTATGTGTTATTATTTGCTTTCTTGACAACAGCCATTCTGACTGAGATGAATATCAAAGTAGTTTTAATTTGCATTGTCTTGACAGTTAAAGAAGTTGAACACTTAAACAAATACTTGCTGGTATCTTAGTTTGGTTTCTATTGTTGTGATAAACACTACGACTAAAATCAGCTTGGGGAGAAAAGGGTTTATTTCACCTTACACTTGGAGATAACTGTGCATCACTAAAGGAAGTCAAGAAAGGAACTCAAGCAAGAAAGGAACCTGGAGACAGGAACTGAAACAGAGACCATAGAGGAACTTGCTCCTCATGGCTTTTTGTCTTATACAACTCAGGATCACCTGCCCAGAGGTGGTAACACCTATTGTGGGCTGGGCCCTCCCATATCAATGATTAATAAAAAAAAATGCCCCATAGACTTGCCTACTGGCCAACTGATGTTCCCTCTTCCCAGATGACTCTAGCTTATGTCAAGTGGACAAAAAACCAAAACCAACTAACCAAACAAAAACAAGCACAATTAGCCTATTGTATGTTTCTCTTGAGAACTGTCTGCTCATTTTATCCCATTTGTTGACCATAGTTGTGGGATTTGTTGTTTGATTTTTGCAGTTCTTTGTATGTTCTAGATATTAACCTCCCTGTCTATAGTACAGCCAACAGATTTTTCTCCCCTTCTAGAGGCTATTCATTCTGCGAGTTCTTTCCTTTGCTGTAGAGAAGCTTTCTAATCTCACATCATCCTCTTTATTAATTCTTAAGGAGGCTATTTCCTATGCCATGGGAGCCCTGTTCAGAAAGTTCTAGCATATGCCTATATCCCAAAGTGTTTTTCTCTAAGAGTTTCAGTGGCTCAGGTTTTAAGTTAAGATCTTAGATCTTTGAATTGATTTTTGTGCAGGGTAAAAGATGGAGTAGGGTTTTTTACTCTTAATTTTGGTTCTTTTCTCTCTGTACAGCCATATTTAAAAAAAACAGTCCTGAGAATCTATTTATTTATTTAGCTAGCTAGCTAGCTAGCTAGTTAGTTAGCTATCTACTTACTTAACATACCAGACTGAGGAATTTGTGCAGCTCCCTCCCCTGGACCCGATAAAGAGGGGGACACCTAACACTGTGATGGCAATGGTCCTTACTCACCTGTCATCTGACTACCTGGTATGTATATAAATATACCAAGGGGCTGGCAGGTGAAGAACTTCTGATTGTCCCAGGGGCTTCAGCTCAGCTCAGCCCCCACTGACTAACATGGGCGGTCAAATTGCCATCTGTGCATTCACCCAGTTTTCTGCTTCTTGGCTCTAGATTTTGCCTATGCAGCTCCTCTTGGTTGTTCCCAGCCGCTCTCCAGCTGGACTACTTAGCTGACTCTCCTCACATCTCTACCAGCTTTCTGTAAGACAGACAGACAGACAGATGGATAGATTGATAGATAGATAGAGATAGTTGTGTGATATTTTGATCACATTCTGATGCTCCAGAGACTGCCAATAAAATTACTTTGAATCAGAGGGCAGAGCTAGATACTAACTGACCAAAATTAACCATAGAGGTTTTGGAGGACTGAAGATAGAGAAACACAGGATTAGTATGTCAGGGTTTAGAGGGGGTCTCAGCCTTGTTGGACTGAGGAACGAGAGACAGAGAGAGAGAGAGAGAGAGAGAGAGAGAGAGAGAGAGAGAGAGAGAGAGAGAGAGAGAGAGAGAGAGAGAGAGATCGAGATCACTGGTCACTTCTTTGCCACTTCTCCAATCATTCAGGTTTTTACCCCAATATCTGACTCCCGAGTTTTTATTGATAAAGAATAATAGATGAGATAGATAGATAGATAGATAGATAGATAGATAGATAGATAGATAGATAGATAGGATTATTGTGATATGTGATCTGAGAGCTAATAATAGTAATTACAATGGAAATAAAACAGCCTGTATGTTGGGGTTACTTGCAGCTTGCAGCCAAGGAAACTGTAGCATGTGAATTTGGTATTAGTCATCAAATTCTGACATTGTGAAGGATGTGAACATATTCTTTGTGTTTTTGACAGTGTATTCATGGCACTATCTAACAGCGGGATAATAAAGTCTGTATCTTGGAGTGATACAGTCTATGTTCTACAGTCATATGTCATATGTCAAAATTTATAGGGCTGTACACTTAAAATTGGCTGAGATTAATAATCTGTCACAATAAACTTTTTAAAAGTGTACTTATTATTTGAAATGAAAATGAAGTGAGAACAGAAAAAATATCATTAGATGATTAGAACCACGCACAACATTGAGATATATTCTTTTGTTATTGGTAATCAAATTGAGGTTACACTTCCATGTAGTAGTTTTCTAAAACTTAAATATTAAGATCTTAGAAACATTTCATCATATGAATGTAGCAAAAGTTACACAATCAATCATCTACTTTTAGAGCAGTGGTTCTCAACCTTCCTAATGCTGTGACCCTTTAATATAGTTCCTCATGTTGTAGTGACCTCAACCATAAAATTATTTTCATTGCTACTTCATAATTGTAATTTTGCTACTGTTATAAACCATAATGAAAATATCTGTGTTTTCCAATGGTCTTAGGTGACCTTTGTGAAAGGATCATTTGACCCCCAAAGGGGTTGTGACCCACACGTTGAGAACTAATATTTTTGAGGGAACTCAGTTCCTTTTTATTTTTTCCTGAAGCCTCTACTGTATTAGTGCCCATAAAATTATGTATAGACTGTGCTATTTCCTAATAATGTATATTATGAAAGGATGTGGACTGTTTCAGGACTTCTGACACAAACTGAATTCTGTATTTAAGTGAGTATATGTGGGATGGAGGATACAGTTGCTACAGCACACATGTGGAGATCAGATGTGGTGATATATTGTGTACCCCAATAAAGCTTGCCTAAAGATCAAAGGACAGAGCCAGTCACTAGATTAGACATGGAGGCCAGACAGTGGTGGCACACACCCTTAATCCTATCACTCAGGAGGCAGAGATTTGTCTGGATCTCTGTGAGTTCAAGGCCATACTGGGCTATATGAGAGAAACAGCCAGGCAGTGGTGGCACACACCCTTAATCCCAGGACTTGGCTCTCATGCCTTTGCTTGGGAAGCATAAATGCCTTTAATCCCAGAAAGTGATGTCTGGGCAGAGAAAGATGTATAAGGCATGAGGAAATAGGAACTCACTCTCTTAAGGCTGAGGATTTCGTAGAGGTAAGGCTGTTCTGCTTCTCTGGGCTTTCAGCTTTCACCCTGATATCTGGCTCTGGGTTTTTTATTATAAGACCTTTTAAGATTCGTGTTACAATCAGAGGAAAATTTGGGGGGTTGGTTCTCTTCTCTCACTTTATATAGGGTCCAAGCTAGAACTCAGGTAACTAGATTGGTAAGGTAAGCACCTTTACCAGCTGAGGCCTAGTGCCATATTTTTTATTATCCTTCCAGGCAATAAATTATCACTTAGGAGATGGCTCTGCACAATGCACATTCTGATCAAGTTCATCATGAGAGCGAGTTGAAAAGCAGGGCTCACAGGTAGAAAAAAGGTCACACAGTTGACCCAAATAGGACAAAACCAAGTCTTTTTGACCCTCCTGACTTCTTGGTAGGGGATGGACCCTGTAACATGTATACTTCATGTTATGTACATGGAATATACACAGAAAAATGAGTAAGACCCAGAGGTGGCTTGAGTTCAGGTTTATGGCAGTCTTCAGCTGAAACAAAGCAGGGTGTGGGTTAGTCATGGGCAGTGGCCTGGAAAAGCCTTTCAGCATGGCTTGTTATGTAGATTTGAAGATAGGGCTTCTTCATGGTCTAAGTCCTTTTCTTTTCTGGTAGAAAGGGCACCCATATAAATGGAGATGCCCTTTGCAGATGTAAAGACACAAATGTATCTTTCCCATTGTTTTCAGAGCTGCTTCCCTGTGGTTTTTCAAAATATTAAACAATTAATAATAAAGCTCATAAAATGTATCTTTAATAGTATTCCTTATACCAAAGAGGCATATTTAGGTTTGGAGTATTTTCTGGTCTCCTAGAACCATATTTGGGTAGAAGATTTAGTACTGTATCTCTCTTGCTAACTGCTGGTGTTACCACACCACACTTACTTACTTCAGTGTGTATTTTTACATAATGTTCTTTTCTATATGTGAATAGGTTATTTACTTACATAGCCATTACAACACACTGGGTGTGAGAATGAGGTACAGGGTTTCTTGGACCCACTGTTACACTGTAGTTATGATTCAGCAGGAGACCATAGAATCTTCCTCTAGTGGGCTTCACCTGGCTTGTGCTATCACCAGCAGAGATGAATAGCTTGGGAGAACCAATGTTTGAGCTCTACCCTCCAGATGAGTTTGATAAACCAGCCTGCCTCAATCTTGGGCTTGAAATCCATCTTATAGTAAAGACAAACCATGTTCATTCCTGTCTATGAATAAATCTGTTTCTCAAGGATTGGACTTTGCCCCACCTGAAACTTAAACTACAAGTGGTTCTGTACTGCCTTTTCCAGGAAATGGTAACCATGCCTGAACAACAACAAAAAAGAAATACAAATGAAAGGAAAGAACACGACTGCTTCTAGGTATTGTGTAAAAGAAAGTTTATTGTCAATAAAAGGAAGAGCATAGATAGAGGCATGGACAGGGACATCTAGGAGAGTCCAGAGTGGACATGGCCAGCCTGAGCTGGGCCATGTGGGGAGAGGGTGGAAGGGAGAAGGGAGAGAGGGGAACCAGGTGCAGCAGCCAGGAGGCCAAAGGTACAAAAAAGAGCTGGTAATTAAAATGTCTGGATTATATAGGGATTCTCTGGAGAAGGGCAGCCCAGCCCCTGGACTGGAGAGTTCAGGGTAGAGGGCAGAGTATGTCAGCCATACTCTGTAACAGGTAGGGACAGATGGATTCTGGGAGAGCCTGATGGCCAGGTCAGCTTTAATATGTTGAATGGGCACCTCAGCTGTTTGTCCTGGATTTGAAACTTAACAATGCCTTTGTTTCAAAAGGATATTATGACCACCTTGTTATAACTACCTTGCAAACATGTCTTTGTTACAGGAGGTGATTATGACCAACTTGCTATGTTTGTGTTCTGCTTCTGTAACCATGCCTGTCTGCCTGCTAAATTCTCCATTTAGAAACACCCTACTCTTGAGCTACAAAAAAAACTTTATGTTACCCATATCCAAGGCTGGTCTTTTGATCCCTACCCTTAGGAGGAGATAGCCCATGTACCCAAATTAAAAACCTTGCTCTAATTAAGTGCTTGCTTTAATTAATTTGGCCATGATGATTTGGGCCAGTGGCCTTTCTCCTCACATCTGTTGGATTAACTAGCTGTTTCTGGGCAAAGTTGGTTCTGATGGTTTGAAGGAGAATGGCCCCCAAAGGCTCAGATGTTGGAGTGCTTGGCCCCTAGTTGGTGGACTCCTTAGGAAGGATTAGGAGGTGTGGCTTGTTGGAGTAGGTGTGGCCTTGTTGGAGGAGATATGTCACTGGTGGTGGGCTTTGAGGTTTAAAAAGCCCATGACAGGCCCAGTCTTATCCTCTCTGCTGCAACTTTCAGATCATGTGAGCTCTCAGCTACTGCTCTCATGGCTGCTTACCAACTGCCACAGTCCCCACCATGCTTATTATCATGGACTGACCCTCTGAAACTGTAAGCAAGCTCCCAATTAAATGCTTTCCTTTGCCTTGGTCATGGTGTCTTTTCACAGCAATAGAACAGCAACTAAGACATTGGTTCTGTCCAAGCACTTGGAAAGTTTTCTGGGGCTGCCATGTGAGGATTTTTTTTTTTTTTTGGTCAAAGGTAGTCAGTCCTATAAGGGTCCATATTTCCTGAACCACCCTCTTCCCCTGTGTGCTGATGACCCAATGGAGTCAAACTGTGAAGCTGAGCTATCATGAGAGCTGGGGGAAGAATCTTCCCTGCAAATGTATCTAGGCTCAGGAGGAGGTTGCTGACTATCCTTGGCTTATAGATGCACAGGTCAAACACCTTCCTCTGTCTTCCCTTGTGTTCTTCTCTTCTTGGCAGAGCATTTATCACCTTGGACCAAGGGCCCACCCTGCTTTAATATGGCTTCATCTTGCCTGAATGACATTTTCAAAGATACCAAGGCTGTACTTATAACTTAGAACTTCAGCCTTTCTTTCGTTCTTCCTTCATTTCTTTTTCCCTCTTTCCCCCTCCCTCTCTCTATCTTCCTCCTTTCTTTATTTAACACAGTTCAATATATCACAATGATTGATTTTGCTTTCTGCATTCTGGATAAGCCATCAATCTCTTTTGATTATTAATCCTCAACTATGGGGGAATTTCTCACAGTGGGCATCAGTACTTTCTGGAGGTAGTTTGGATAATGGAAAGATTATCTGAAGTCCTGGCTGGAATAGTCTATGAGGCTGGACCATCTCAGCAAGCAGTCTTGGAGCTGTTGTAGATGCAGAGCTCTGAGGAACTGTAACAGAGGCACTCTGAGAGGCTGGATCACCCATCCATTTTCATTAGTGTCTGGTCCCCTTGTTCTGAAAACACACAAACTTTCAAGGGAAACATATAAATCTACATTACCACAAGCATGGAATGTGCAGTGTGCACAAGTCAGTAAAAGATGATTTTTTTTTTATGTCTGAGCAGGTAAAATATATATCATTTGTCTTGTAGTTATTCTAGGCTTATTTCTTTATGTCTGTAGTCAGGATTTTTAGGGGGTCTTCCCCAATCAAATCTGTTTTCAGTCAACCTTGAATGAATCCACAGCCTTTCATTTTCTGTTAAAACAAAAGCATAACCTCTTCCCTAATGTAATATGTTTTTTGACTTCCAAGTGAGCACATTTTTAAAAATATTTAGGTTGGTTTAATTTAGTAGTTTTTATAATCCAATGTCTCTCAGCAGCTATTGTTCGCTCATCAGCAATCAAAAAATTTAAAGGCAATACAACACCATACAGGATCCAGACTCCCTGTGTATTTCCCATCTCCACACGGCTTACTCTGTTTTTATTACTTATAAACAACTTCTACTTTTCTATGACTGTCTATACCCATTTTCTTTTCTTTCTAAAGCCTATGCACACTTTAAAACACACTGTAGCCTGTTTAGAGGGTTTTTCCTCCATCTGAACCTGCTTTACTTGTGTGTCTGTTACCTTTTCTGTCTTAATGAGCAAAATCTTAAACTGCTTAGCTTGTGGCATGCTGGAGGCTCAAGTCCACGGGGAGCAGAGAGATGGGTCTCTGTACTGTAGCCACATGGTCTCTGTACCATGGCCACATGAGAGACTGTGGAACTAAGAAGTCTTGTTTGGCTCCATTTTGTGTGCTTGAAATCTCTCTTTTTTTTTTAAGCTTTCTCTGGTCTTGTGTGGAAATATGTGCCTCCACATTGGATGCCATTTGTAGGTGGATTTTTCTGTCTTGCCAACTAGCTCCCAAATCATGACTTCTTATTAATTATGAAAGCTCAGTCAACAGCTCAGGCTTGTTCCTAACTAGTCCTGATAACTAAAATTAATCCATATATTTTAATCTACTTTTTTATGTGGCTTGATTACCTTTACTCTGTACTCTCCATGCTGCTTCCTCCCCACCAGGCTGGTGACTCCCCTTCTTCCTGGCATTCTCTCTGCCCCAAAAATCTTGCCTAGCTATTGGCCATTCAGCTTTTTATTAAACCAATCTGAGTGACACATTTTTACAGTGTACAAGATTATTCCACAATAAGAGAGGGGGGGATTAGGCCTGGCATGGGCTTTTGAACCTCAAAGCCCACTCCCAATGACCCACCTCATAATTCTTCCTAAACTTCCACCAACTAGGAATCAAACATTCAAATATATGAACCTATGGGGGTCATTGCCATTCAAACCATGGTAGGACAGCTTCACAACACAAAAGTGGGTAGCCTAACATGCCAGTAGTGCTAAGGTTGAGAAACCCTGAGGTAAAACAAATATCTCATAAAGATATTTTTAAGCAAATATTCCATAATGCTATCTGGAGTGTATGTGAGTGATTCAGTCCATAACTGATCTCCCATTTGGTTTCTTTCTGGCATTGCCTTAAGTTATACATTGGATCCATTTACATGGTAATAATTACTGTTCAACTGTAAGGTAGTTTTGCTTTGAGGAATGAATGAGAGCTACATGTGACAGGAAATGAGACACATGTATTTTAAATTGTGACTATTAATCACTGATTAATGAACAATATTGACAACAAAACATTTTTCTGGAAGATTAAAAAAGACAGACAGACAGATGAAAGAAAGAGAGAGAGAGGGAGAAAGGAAGGAAGGAAGGAAGGAAGGAAGGAAGGGAGGAGGAAGGAAAGAAAGAAAGAAAGAAAGAAAGAAAGAAAGAAAGAAAGAAAGAAAGAAAGAAAGAAAGAAAGAAAGAAAGAAAAGGTCATGTCATTTAATTATAGAAATGCACTCTGTGAAGTTGAGTCTGCTCTGCCCTTTCACCACATGGTCTCCAACTCAGAGCAGTGCACAAAGGTACTCAATACATGCTCAGTGCACAAAGGTACTCAATACATGCTGGCTTCGTGAATCACCTAGTGTGTCCAGGAGTTTTGAGGAAAATCCTGACCTCAGAGGGCTCATCCTTTACTGTTACTAAAAAAGCTTTAAAATGACTCTAACTCCACTTCTTCCAGGATACTGTGAAGTGATGTCTATTTTGAGTTATCATATGCAGATTACAGAGTAGGGGTGTGTGGTGTGTGTGTGTGTGTGTGTGTGTGTGTGTGTGTGTGTGCAAGCATGTATGTGTGTGTTGTTGAGTATTCAGATTGTCAGATCACATGTGAACCTATATAAATAATTATACAATGTATACCTTTATAAACTTTCAAGTTAATAGTGAAGATGATACAAATTTAAACTACCTAGGGAATAGTGCTCAGCAGGACATTTGTCTCCTTGGTAAAGGCTGTGATAGAGGAAGAGTAGGAAGAAAAGGAAAAGGAGGAGGAGTCTACCACAGCCTAAGTTGATGAATCAGGTTGTGTCCAGAGGACAGATACCCATCTATGCAAGAAAGATGATTTTTGAGGGCAGGGTCTGGGTTTCAAATGAGATAGTCTCTGGGTCTCACAACTGAGTGCTAGGGCTGAAGTTCATGGTCCTGGCCATGGCCTCTGCCAACTCTGGGCCAGTTATGGACCCTTCCTGACCTGCTGTCTCCTGGGGAAGACAGCCTCCTCTTCTCCAGCCTGCTCCTTAATTCATTTGCCTGCTCTCTAACTCCAGGTTAGAAGGAGAAGCTGAGGGTCCCAATGAAGACATGGGTGCCCCGAGCAAGGGCTTTCACTTTGTTCTCAGGAGTTCTTAGCTGGTGCTGGATGAATCTGAATGCAGCAGAGTCTAAACCAACATAGATAAAGACCATACTGGGGAAGGCCTTTAACCTTGCAGTTCTTTAAACTAGTGATGGTAAACTACTAGACAATAGCCTTGGCCCCTGTGGCCCTTTCAAGTGGCCCACTTGCCCCATAGGCCAGCCCTAGTAAACACCAGCTCTCCCTTCCCTCGTGAAATCTCTTGTTCTATAGCATCTGACCCAGAGAATGACCTTCCCTGGGAGTTCAGCAGACTCGGCCTTAGCTGAGGGTGACAGATGGCCCAGGCAGGAGTAGCTCTTCAATTTCAGTTCCTCTTCAGTTGCCTCGAGATATGGCTGACCAAGAAGAGTTCCATCCCTTGTCCTTGCCAGCCTTCATCAGGCATCTGGGGACACAGTGACTGGAGTGTCCTATAGTTTTACATCAAAGGTAAATGTAACCCCAAATATGTGCCCATCCCCTTCGTAAGTACTTTATATATATAAATCCATGTGCTGTGGTTTGCATGGGATTTTTGTCTGGAGGTTCTTACATCCTCAATGTGGTGATTCCAAAATATTATAGAACACTGAAGAATTTCTTAAGAGATGCTTGGAGCAAAGTAGGATCACTGAGGGTAATGACCATAGAAGGGACTAATGCAGCTCTTATGGGACCCCAGTCAGTTCTCTTGAGAATGGGTCTTTCTGAAACAACAAATTGGCCCTTCCTTGATCTCTGGCTTTTGTTCTTACCATGTGATTTTTTTTCTTTCTTATGACCTGTTATACATCACGGTCACAGGGACCCTCAGCACAGGTGAGCAGATGCAAAAACCATGCTCTTGAAGCTCCAAAAGCCTGGACACAATAAACCTCTTGTTTTTCATGCATTGTCTAACCAAAAGTGTTTACAGCAACATAAGCAAATTAATATTGATGTCCTATATCACCCTTTTAATAACCTCATAAGACACCTACCTTACCACCTTCATTGTCGGTTAAAGAAATGGAGACAGATTTCAACCAAAGCCCTACTTGATGCAACTAACGATTATGTAGAAAAAGACTATAGTAAAAAGACAGATTAGATTCACTTTGTGGGTTTATCTGAAAAATTAAACTTCCATTTATACCATTTCTGCAGGAAAAAAAAAACTTGGTTAATTGCCAACAACTGCTTCTTAAACTTCGAACCAAAGTCAACCCAGACATCTGTCTTCCTACTTCAGTGATGGTGAGGTGACTGGGGCTCCATGAAACTCTAGTGAGGAAGAGTCTTTCTTCCACCCTTCACATCGACCACCCAGCCATTACTTCCTCCCTCACATCCGCCCTGTCTCTCCCACCTCAGCAAACGGGCACAGTTCCCTAAGAAAGTTCTTGGATCTCTTTCTTCCTAGACAGAGCTTTTGGAAGGCACATCTTTCTTAGTGGAAGAAACTACCAAAAAGAAGATCCCTGAAGTGTGCCAAATGGTAAAGTAAGAATTACTCAAGTTTTTATATAACAATAAAGTCGGAGCCAGCAGCACTTCCTAGGGAGTTATTAGTAATAGGAAATGAATGTTCCAAGAGCAAATCGATGGCAGGATGCCAAAAGGGTGTGGATGGAAGAGAACTGAAAATGTCTTCACAAGTGGGACTTTGGAGTCCTGAGTAAGAATGACAGATGGTGAGGTCACTGTACATGAATGAGTAAATTCGCAGCTACTGCAGGTCAGATCACAGTGACATCATCTTCCTGTGTTAAAAAAGCATGATCTGTAGCCTGGTATAGAAGAGTAATCCACCTGTAATCCCAGTACTTGGGAGCCTAAGGCAGGGATATTGCAAGTTCCAGGCCATCCAGGGCCGCATGGCAAGACCCTGCCTTAAAATAAACACACAAATGAAAGAGCATGGCTATTTATTCAAAGACATTATCAGAATGGGCCATCATTTTGTGTCCTTGGGACCTGGTGTTTGTGTATGGCAAGGAGGACTTAGACTCTGTGGGACCTTTCAAGCTAAGACTGGGAGTCAAAGGGGTTTGCCAATGAGCAGAGACCCAGAACAGTGCCACAGATGAATTTTAAAAGTGTTTGGAGAATGCATTATTTGTGTGTTATGGCTACAGAGTCAAAACATAGCTCTGGACGAAGAATGGAATGAACAAACAGCTGACTCACTTCGAGGCTGGCTGTGCTAAGGGCCATCTCTGGCAGGAAGAACAGCTCCTGGGCCAGGGAGGCAGGGCTGGTCAGCGTGGTGCTGAACGGGAGTGCATCTGGGTACATGTATACACACACATGATTCATGAGCGTGCTTGCTGCGAATATGTCCTTGGGTCCTGGGGACACTTGTGGAGCCAGAGTAGACAGCAGATGGGTTCTCCTGATCTGAGCTCCCAGGGGCTCCAGAAGCACCCAAGAGGACATAGCTGTGGGGACCAAGTTATCAAGTGGGACCTGCTTCTCCGGGTCACTGCAGAGAGAAATGCAGTCCATCCTCTGTGTGGACAATTTCTGCATCTGTGGAGTTAACTGATGACAGATGGAAAATACAGGGAAGCCTGCGATGATCAAATCTATACTGGATGATAGAGCAGAGAGTTATTCATAGAGCACTTACATGGCATTATAAATGATCAAGACATGATTAATGTACTGGAAAGGATATGCATAGGTTAGATATAGACATTACACCATTCTCCACAGGAGACTTGAACATCTGTGGATTTGTATTTGGGGGTTCAAAGAACTATGTTTCCATGGATACCACAGGATGACTGTGGACATCATCAACCCATCAAAAGAAAGTAGGAACTATACATATAGAAAGGTGGCAAGAACACACGTTTGTATTTTCTTAGACTTAGATGGAAGGATGTGTAAGAAGCTGATAAGAATCTCTACCACTTGTGTTTTTTTTTTTTTTTTTAAAGAACTAAGTTATACTAGATAAATGGGCAAGAGTCTGTTTCCCTCAGTATCCACAGCACCTGGGAGCAGAGCCCTGTGGACGGTTGAAGCATCTGGAGAATGCTGAAACAGCCCAGGGCGGCCAGGACTTCACTGATTTCACACCCAGCACTGCTGAATCCAGATCTGGATCCTCTCTACCTCACACCTTCCCGGAGGAGGAAATGCTCTTTACTGTGAGGCCCGCTTGGCTGAAGTGGTGACAAATGAGACCCAGATTCTCCCACAGCATTTAGTGATTTCCAGATACCAGGTGTTTTTACGAATGGAAAACAAAAACAAAATGAAACAAAACAAAATAACCTGGTCCTATTGAATAAACGCCATCAGTTTTATGGTGGTATCCACCCAGCTGGGGGGCAGAGAGACAGCTAAGTGGTTAAGAGCCCTTACTGCTCTGGTAGAGGCCTGGGGTTCAGTGCCCTGTACCCGTGTCAGGCAGCTGATAACCACCTGTAACTCCAGTTCCAGGGAATCTGATGCCCTGTGTCCGGCTTCCTTGGACTCCTGCACACATGTGGTACACCCATTCAAGCAAATACACACATAGAGAAAGAAAGAGAGAGCAGCGCTAGGTGGTTGACTCCTCCCATTTGTTATCACCTGCCTGACTGCCTAATCTTCTGCAGGACTGCTCCCCCACCCCCACCCCCACCCCCACCCTCACTTCCTCTGATGACTCAGCACAAGCAGCTGTGGGAATGGAGAACCTTTGTCACAGTCCCAGAAAGAGCTTCGGGCCATTTGGGCTCAGCAGCTGAACCTGGGGTTTCAGAATGACAGGAAACCTCTTACAGACGTGTCAGAAACCATCTTGATGCTGTCTTTAAACCCTGCAGCTTGCTACACTGTTCTCCTGGGCTCGTCACAGTGAAGGCTGTGAGTCAGAGGGTCCCAGCGTCTGAGACCGCATCATGTCAAGCTCCAGGGTGAGATGGGACCTGCTGGTCTTCAATCAGGGATGAAGAGGAAGTTCCAAGTCACAGCAGTTCCACCCACGCCCTGCCCCTTGAAGTAAACCTCCGTACTTGGAGTCTGAGTAATCTCTCAGAGGAAAAGGTGAATGGGAGTGTGCAGTATCCTCAGTGACTACAGACATGGACTATATGCCCAGGGCCTTTTACTGTATTATCTTCAAATGCTGATTGTTAGTCCTAAGGAGAAGTTGTCTCTTCAAACCTAGAAAGTTATTTTTATTGTCATCGAACCAAAAGCAACAAATTTAAAATTATCACAGAATGATGTAGATACTTAGACACTAAAAACTTATCAAGATATGTGTGTATGTAAGTATATAAGTATATGTGTGTATGTATGTATGTAATTATATAAGCATGTGTGTGTATGTATACACTATGTATGTATGTATATGTGTATGTCTGTGTGTATGTATGCATTGGTTACTTTTCTCATTGTGGGACAAAATACCCAACAGAAGCAACTTAAGGATGGAAGGGGTAGTTTTGACTCACAGTCTGAGGACTCAGCCCATCATGGCGGCAAAGACTGAGGCGGTGAGGGCCACTCTAGCTGAGGCAGCAGGGAGGACACAGAGCGGCTCACACTGAATCCAGGCAGGAAGCGAGAGAACTGATGCTCAGCTGGCTCGCGCTCTCTCTCTTTTAAAATTCAGCCCAGGCCCCCAACCCATGAGATGGTCCTACCCATGTTTAAGGTAGGTGTCTCCTTCAGTTAGACCTCTCAGAACACATCCTCAAAACATGTCCAAAGGTGTGTCTCCTAGGTGATTCTAAATCCAGTCAAATAAAGATTATTTGTATTTGTAAAATACAAATTTATATATTTATATATATATAAATATATATATAATATATACAAATACAAATAATATATATTATTTGTATTTGTAAAATACAAATTTATATATATGTCTCTATATTATAATATAGAGACATATATAGACATATAGAGGTTCTCTCTCACACACACACACACACTCTCTCTCTCTCTCTCTGTCTCTCTCTCCTTTTTGTTTTCTCTTAAACAGGATAAGTCAAAAATTCAAACTCTGTTGTGTATGCAGACACGTGCTACATAATGATGCTGGGACAGAGATGGTCTACAGCACACAATGACAGTCCCATGAAAATATCATCTGGTGACATCATAGGCAGCCTGATTTGGGTAAGCACACGCTGTGACATTTGCCCAACAGCCAGGTCACTTAACTACACAGCCTTAGAACACACCTCTAACACATGATAAATGGGAGATTGTGTGAGGCTATGTGAGACTAAAGAGAAAAGAGAAAGCAGAGCTCATATAACTGGACCACAGTAGGTACTTTAAGAATGGAATTAGCAATGATTAGAAAGGGTTTTGGCAACATCCATAATATTTAAAATTTTTATAATATATCCACAAATTACCTACTTAATTAAAAATGTAACTTTTTCTGAAACAGGGTTTTGCTATGTAGCCCAGGTTAGCCACACAATTATAATCCTCCTGCTTCAGTCTCCTGAGTGCTGGGGATTCCAGGCATGTCCCACCACACCCTGTTTAAAAATAAATCTTTAAAACAAAAGAATCATTTTTCATTCACTTTGTGTTCCTCCCGGAATAAACAATGCGTGCCAGCTGAAGAAACATTTCCATCCCTCTGAATCCCTGCGACTCACCTCTCTCTTCTCCACTGCTCCATTGCCTTGTGGGATAAGGGAGCCAGACACACCTGTGCTCAAATCAAGTCTGTGTGACTTTGGACAAGTTACTAAACCTCTCTGAGCTCAACTGTTCCTTGGTCAAACGCAGAAGATACTGCAGTTCAAATACCAGTTTCTCAGTGGAATGTCCTCTGAGCCTCCACCCCGCTTTGTTCCATGACAGTTTAGGTCAGTATTGTTCGTTTTAATTCTCAAGAGATCCTTTGTTTCCCTGGGATCGTTATCTCAGATGCAATCTTGCATAACTTAATGTAATCATTGGACCAAGGGCTTCTTCTTCCCCTAGAATTTAAGCTCCTGTTTGCAAGCATAATGCCAAGTAGCCAGAGCTGATTGGTTATCTAATGGGTGCTCAGTTAGATATTTAATACAAGAATGAATATGGAGCTTACTGGGTTACTAGGAAATAATTTTAATAGGCTCCTGAGACTGTCATTATGATAGATTAGAGATGTCTGCAAATTAGTTGTCATTTCCCCCATCAAAATTTCTCTTTTCTTGAATCTGGGCCCGTCCCAGCCTTCACTTTGATCAACAGAACAAGGCAGAAGTAACAGTATATAACTCCTGAGGTTGGAGCTCTATTGATCTTCAGGTTCTACTTTTGTGAAGTTGGTTGGAACAGGGCACACTAGCTATGCAAAGCCCACATGGAGCAGAGCTAAGGCTGGTTATCACCCAGCGGAACTCTCAATCAGCAGTCAGTACCACTGAGGCAACATGAATGGGCAACCATGGACACCCATGCCCAGGGTAGCTTCCAGATGTCTGTAATCATAGCACCCCATGCAGAAGATCCACCCTGCTGAGCTTGGCTAATCCATAAGGCAGCAAGAGATAATAAATGGAATATTATTATTTTTAGCCATTTCATTAGATGTGTAGCAATGTATTAACTACCAGATTTGTGTGTTTGGTGGGGGGGGGGGACAAAAATCCACTCATGAAAGATGTATCAATTGATAAGTTTTCTTTCCTGTCTGCCTATGATGTTCAATGTGAAACTACCTCCACCACCTTACCACCAGCACCACTCCTTGGTCAGATTCCCTGGCCCTCTCTCCCTCTCTCTGCTATCCTTTTTCTACTACGGCCTTCCCATAAGTTCTTTCCAACATGCACGACCCAGCTACAGTCCCAGCACTGACACCACAGAGCCTTCTTCTCTGTGCGGACTACTTGCTTCCTGCTCAGAGCTGCCCGGACCACAGTTAAACCTGTTGTCATAGAACTCTGCCTGGTGTGACACGACTGTCTGGAAATCAGCACTGCTGTGATTATACAGTCAAGACCCTCACATTATTGACTTATGAGCCTTCTCCCAGGCAAAGGGAGAGAGGGCTCATGAGGCATCAACTAAGGCCCAGCCCTCTCTGAAGACATGTAAGAAAGTGATGAAGGAGATTCTACAGTCGTGGAGGTACTAGGAGGTTGTCCATCCTCCTGTAAGCAACCTCCACCCATACTCCTGGAAATAATTCCAATAAACTCATCAGCTCACCAAGTTAGACATTGGTGGGAAATTTTCTTTGGCCTGCTGTTGGTGTCATATTTGGGGTGGCTATATAGTTGTCCATATCTCCCCAGGAAGTTACACTTTAGTACCTGAACGGGGAAACAACCGACTGAGGGGAACGTTTTAGAACAGTTGCTTTGCCCCTGCTAGGGGTAATAAGACCTGTAACTAAAGCCGAGCCATCTGAGGGTGTAACATCTCCCAGGTAATCCTGATGTAGCCATCTTTCTCCATATGGTGCAGAATGGCATGCTTCCTCGTTGTTGTGTTCACCCTGCATTAGGTGATAAGACATGTAATCGAGACTACGTTTCTGTCCAGAGGGAAAAATCAGGGTGGAAAGTTTGTGGGAGAAACCCAGATGGGATTGTTTTCCTCTGTGTTATATGGGGATATGAACGTGGTCCATCCTGGAAGAAGAGGGATGCCTTGAGAATAGCTAACAGACCAGAGATGATGCTGTTATCCCTGAAAGTAACACGTATGCAACAGGGTTGAAAGGGAACAGCTGCAGACGCTGCATTGCTCCTGCTGTGAGTGATGACAGGAGCCAGGCTCAGCTATCTGCCCAGAAAGAACTCGCCTGCCTTGGGGAGGGAAGACAAGAAAACCATGAGACGTGTGAATGGCATCCTCCACAGCAGCCTCCAATTTGGTATGTAAATTGGATAAATGAGAGGATGAGATGGAGGTACCACTGGCTTGCTGTTTCTTATGGCTAGGGTGGAGCATAGAGGAAAGACAATTCAAATTAGGTTTGTGCCAAAAGGACCCCCTGGGAGCCAAACTGTTGGGGATAACCAAAGCATGAAGAGTGAGAGAATGAGGTCGGAAAGAAATGGGACTGTACTCACCAAGAGTTAAGAGAAGCAGTCTCCAAAGAGACCACAGGACAAGTATGAGGATGTTGTGGCTTTGCTGAACCTCCTCTTGAGTCATGATTTTACCAGGAAGGAGAGGCTTTGGAAGAGCTGAGTGATGTAGACGTAGATTGGCAATATGTGAGGTTCACAATGTGCTATACCAATCAAGAGGAGGTGAGGACGAGAAAATGCAGAAAGCAGAGCTTGTCTGGGTCACTCAAAGCAAGCGGAGCAAGCCAAAGACTCCAGGGAAGAAATGTAACAGAAATCCAAATGCTGTGCATGTGAGCTTCTGAAAAGCTGTAAAGCCTGAAGGGAAAATTAGCCAAGTGCTGCAGAGGACCCCAACTGTGCCAGCTGCCACGGACCAAGGAGATCTCGGCAGGGGCAACTGCTTTACTGATGGGGTAGCCAAGTTACCAGATGAAGGCCAAGATGAAGACCATACAGGGTGACTGAGAGTACCAGGTTGAATTGTGGACTTATTGATATTTTACTAATGGGCAGAGTAAGAGCTTGGCTGGATGCTGGACTAAGTAGATATGCCTTGGTTCCTGGAAGCCAACGGGAGCATCAGGGCTGATGGGGATCAGTAGGTGGATATGGAGACAGAGCAGTGAAGTAGAGATTTTTCAACAAGCCGTGGGCCATTTCAGCAGCCAGGTGTGACCAATGTAAAGTCAGGCGGCAGCTGCAACACTGGCCTAGAGCCTGTTAGCGACAGGCCCAGCCTAACTCCTGATTGTCCTCAGGCCAAGGACCAGCCAGCCAGGCTTAGGCCCTCTTGGGTGGAGAGATGTCTAAGAGCCCTGCTGCAGCATTCCAGGATGAGGAGGCAGGATGGCTCACAGGGAATGACTGTGAAGTGCAGAGAGCTAAATATGGTGATGCCTCCTGTCCATGCTGCTATGTTGAACAGTGCTCTGTTGCAGAAATGATTGGCCTAACTAATAGGATCTTTTCAGGCTGTATTAGACCTTGCTGACTCTCTTAAGTATATCCTTAGCTGAACTTAAGAACTTATAAACCCTAAAACAAGTTGGCACCTGCTTGGAATGGTTGGTGATGGGCCTTCAGAAATTGTCTTTGTAAAATGATAACATTGTATAGATGATATCATGCTAGCTTCGGAGTATTTTAGAGGTTTAGAAAAGCACCTGAAAGATGGGCAAGTATCCTTAAACAATCAAGGATGGGAAATTAAGCCACACAGTGCATGGGAGCCAGGCACAGCTCTGAAGTCTCACGAGTTTTATGTCTGGGTTAAGTGTAGATGATACCCAACAAAATAAGTGAAAAAAGTCTTACAGTAGCCTATGTCTGTGGACACTAAAAGGATGGTTAAAGAGTCTGAAGACAGTGGATGGAAAAAGACACTCCCAAAAGTCATGAATCCAATGAGCAAAAGTTTCTGTGCCAGCATGGGCTGTTGGCTGGGGGAGCCACTGAGGGCCCACACACAGTACTGCTGATGGTTATATCCTAGAGTCCGATGTAAGACACCACGTGCTTTGATGGTAGGACATAGAGAAGTCAATCTAGTATTGAGGTGAAAGGTGCCTCCCAACTGTCTATTATTCATGTTTCTTGAGAGTGCTATGCAGTATAGGGAGGATTATTACCAATTCTGGCCCCTTCCTAGATCCTATTTAGCTATAGAGACACATGTTAATATGATCAGCATGCTAAGCAAAATGTGTCCATAAATGAAATGGTAGCACTACTGTTATGGGTGCAACCAACTGCTTTCCAACTGAATTTAAGGATCTCCCCACATAAGGAACCCATGCTTGATAATGGAAGTAAAAAACATGTGCTGCAAAGATCACAGAACCTAGGGGAGAAGCCATTGCTATTGTTTCCTTAAATGACTGAGATGCCTGTCAAACTGCCTTCTAAAGTTCTTGTTTTACCCATAGACTGTTGCTACTGTCAGCCTTGTTCAGGAAAGCTCATTTTCGGAGTGAGTAGTATCGTTACTACAGATATTCATAACTAATTAAATTAATAATAAGTGATGGTTGCTTTAGCATGGCAGGCCACCTCTCAGTCCTAAATGGAAGAAAATCATCACACAACTATATTATCCACCTCCTATCCCCACCAAATGTCAGAGAACTTTGGAGGTAGAGAATCTGAGAGCCAAAGAAAGTGATAGAGTACTGTGGAAGGGCATGGCCATTGCTCTGAAACCAGAGCAGCTGTGATTAGCTATATGAGTCCCTCAAAATATTGAACCCACCAATATTCCCCTGTGAATGGGAAGAAGAGAGGCTTGCTCACTAGGCCTCTCCCACCCTAAGGATATATAAACAGTTGGGTTAACAATTGCTGGAAGGGAGGGGAGCTCTTCAGCAGTGTAGCTACCCATAAGTTGCCTATGCCCTTGTAAGTAACCCCTCCTCACCGATGCTCCTGTAAATAGCTCCATTTAAATTCATTGGTTTACCAAGATAGGCTGATGCACTTGTTTCTTTGATCTGTCACTGGTGCCTTATCTGGAGCAAATAGATGTTTATTCATGTCACACTTGAGATCCCAAGGGATACTGCTTGGAGATCTATTACCTCTAAAATATGACTGTCTCACCTCCAAGATGACCTGTTCATCTTCCTAGAATGGGAGCAGAGCAGCAAACATCTTACTCTCTTCATAGTCTCTGCCCCTGACTTTTCCTTGTCAGTCTCCCCAGCAGAGCTTTCTGCACTCATGTCTTCCTGCAGTGGCTATGAACGCTATGAATCTCTTGTTCTCAGCATCTCCTTGTAGTTTCTTTGCTCGCTGTCTGTGAAGGACAAATATAAAGCACATAGTGAGAATTATATGGATGATGCATGTAGGGTAAAGGCGCTTGGTGTTGTGTCTGGGTAAGCATTAGAAGCTGTTATTGTTATGGAACTGGCGTGCCGCTTCTCACCATTGCATGGACTAAGCCTTCCCACAGGTGTCCTGCTCTCTCCCTAACACCTTCTCTCTCAGGGGACATTCCAGGTCCCACTCTGAATCATGGTGGCTCAATATTTATTTCCTAATATTATTGGCTCTAGTAGACTCCGACTTGAAAGTTTTTGGGTTTTTGTTGTTGTTGTACCAATTTATATTTATTTAAAAAAAATAGCTCTACTTCCTAATTCTGATGGAATAAAAATGACCAAAAATTCTTTCTCCATTCCCAGAGCTTCTGACATGGTTCATTAGTGGAATATAACGGCAGTGATTCTGCACAGCTCCCAGGCGAGACTTCGGAAGACCTCATGACTAACACTGGTGCTCTCTTGGAACAATGTGAGAGGCCTGAACTGTCCTCCTGATGGACAGACTGACAGCTAATTATCAGCCACGGGAGTGACACCAACTTACACCAGCCTGGGTGCACACTGCCAATGACTGAAGCCACCAGAGTGACGCAGATAGACTGACTAGCTGAACTCAGACTGAATAAAATCTTCAGCAGGTGAAGAATAGATGGCCGATGCAAGATTGTGGTATAAATATACAATAATATAGGGATAAAATTTGGCTTATTCAGCAAGAATACACGAGAGAGAAACTGCTTCCAGAACTAAGGAAATGACATAAGAGAAATCTGTACTTATATGACATCATCTTTGGGAAGTTAGTGTCTAGAAGAGTGAGAAGGCTGTTTATAACAGTAGAAAGACTGGGAAACTGGGCACTTGTGAAGGTTACAACTCCAGGGAGGAGATTCTAAGGTTGGCAAGGGGATAACACAAGTCAGGTGGGAAAAGAGAACCTGGAGAAAATGTCACCTGAGATAGGTTAGAAACAACAGCAAGTATTTAATGACCAAGATGGTTAAGAACATCTCTGAGTAGACTACTGAGGTCCTGGCCTTAGCTGCCTGTGATCAGATGCTGCAGGAGAGGTGAGTGAGGACGAAACAGGTTTGTAAGAAGAACATAGACGATTCCGGACTTAAAGAGTCAGAGGGTATCTGGGCGTGGTAGCACATGCTTTTAATCCCAGCAGGATCTCTGTGAGTTCAAGGCCAGCCTGGTCTACAGAGCTAGTTTTAGGACAGCCAAGGCTACACAAAGAAACCCTGTCTTCAAACACACACACACACACACACACACACACACACACACACACACACACACACAAGGTGTCAGAGGGTAAAACTTAACTAAACACAGAGGTGCCTGCCCATCTCAAATCAAATGTATACTGTGACTTTTGGAGCATGGAGCCAACTCTGTCTCTCAAAGAGTCCCAGTCCCAGCAGCAGCTTAGACTACAAGGGGCCATGGCAGGTCACATTGTAAAGAGACACCCAGATGCTAGACTGTCGATGAGCACTCAGCAGACTGGGGAAGACTCTAAGTTCCAACAGACCTCTCCTGTGGACAAGGAAGATCTCTCAGAAGGTATGCTAGAGATTTGCTCTTGAGGTGTGTGTGCTGCACCTCCATGCCAGCTGGAAGTCAGAATTGCTGTGTGCTGGCAACTGCCATCAATCACTCCCCGGGTCCCTAACATGAACGCCGTTTGTTTCCCCATTATACATTGTGCGCATGCTCAGGATTGGGGGCGGGGAAGGGGGGACAGAAAACTTGTCTTTTCAGTTCACAAGTGTCTGGATGAAGAAAGCGTACATGTTTCCAGGAGCTTTACCTGTGTCTGCACCTGCCCCAGAGCATGGAATGAAGGGTTCTGCACCTGAGCGTAAAGCTCAAGGGGGCCCAGGATGGGTGCATGTTTGCATGGGGGAGAATGATGGAGATCACTGAGGGCAACAGGTAAAACATACAGATTGAAAAGACCACAGACACTTTGCAGCCTTTCCCAACTAGAGATATATTTACCACCACCACTCATGGCCTTACACACGATAGACAAGCTATGTACTGATGGGCTGTATCTGTAGCTCATTGTTTTAATGACTAGAACATGCTAGAAATGACTACAGTTTCTGAGTAAGGCTGCGAGAAGTTTCACAGTATACAGTCCTGGTACTACCACCACCATACAAAAACCCAAGCTCTAGAGGCCTCACAGGGAAACAAATCATCCTGGCCAGCCCTGTGGCTGATTGCCTGAAGTGTAACTGAGGCCATTGTGGGATATCCTGGCCTCATAGACTCACCAGGTGGCTGCAGCTGCAGCAATGACCCCAGGCAAGGACATCAAAAGACATCCAAATGTTCTCTGTCCATCACTGAATCATAGGATTTGGAGCAAAGGGGAGACTATTTTAAGCTATTATGTTGCAGGATGCCTTGCTACCTGGAAATAGGTAGAAGAATCTGGATATGGTGGTACACAGAGACCTGTAATATCAGCAGTCTGGAGACAGAAGGAAGAGATTTTCAAGTTTGAGGCCAGTAAGGCAAAAAA